AGATAGATAGATAGATAGATAGATAGATAGATAGATAGATAGATAGAGATTAGATAGAGATTAGATAAAGAGAGAGAGAGAGAGAGATTAGAGAGAGAGAGAGAGAGAGAGATGATAGATAGATAGATAGATAGATAGATAGATAGATAGATAGATAGATAGATAGATAGATGATAGAGATTAGATAGATAGAGATTAGATAAATAGAGAGAGATTAGAGAGAGAGAGAGAGATTAGATGGATGGATGGATGGATGGATGGATAGATAGATAGTGATTAGATAGAGGTAGAGGTAGAAAGATAGAGATAGATGATAGATAGATAGATAGATAGATAGATAGATAGATAGATAGATGATAGATAGATAGAGAGATAGAGATAGAGAGATAATAGATGGATGATAGATGATAGGTAGGTAGGCAGGCAGGCAGGCACACATAAACACAGATGAGATGATAGACAGACAGATGATAGCCAGATGATAGTTGGTTTTCATGTCATGGGTGGCTATATAAATTAGATAGAAGGACAGACAGACAGACAGACAGAGACAGACATTTGCAGAAAATGTGCTGTTGGCCTTTCACAGGGGCGGCTGTCTTTAACCTGTTCGCCCCCCCCCCCCCCCCCCCCCAGCTTCTGAAAATGATCTGCTCAATAAGCGCCTGAAGCTTGATTATGAAGAAATGACTTCGTGTCTCAAAGAAGTCATGTCTGTCTGGGATAAAATGCTGACCATGCCAGGAAGGTCAAAGATCAAGTTGGACATGGAGAAAATACATTCTGCTGTGGAGAAAGGTGAGGGTACTGGCTCTTTGGAAAGCCTATTATTATCTTTTTAAAACATCTGCTAGAAAGCCACCAAGCTCAGAGAACGCCAAAGACCTCACAGTCCTCCTCCACATCCTCCTCCTCCTCTCCAAACCCTGCTCCCTTCCAGCACTGGTGATGTCCCTTAGTTGGGTAATGTAATGTCTGCAAGAAAACAACCAAGCTCAGAGAGCACCAAGGACCCCACTAGACAGTGGTGGGGTTCAAATTTTTTTTTTTACTACCATTACTGTGGGCATGGCTTGGTGGGCGTGGTGTGGCTTGGTGGGCATGGCAGGGGAAGGATACTGCAAAATCCCCATCCCCTCCCCACTCCTGGGGGAAGGTTACTGCAAAATCCCCATTCCCTCCCCCCCGCACACTAACCTGCTTTCCAGCTCTGTTCTCCTGTGCAGGGCAACCAAAGAAGACCCAGCCGATCAGCTGGGACTCAATGGGAGGCAGAGAATAGATGGGGTTGGTGGGGCCAGTCAGAGGTGGTATTTTCCGGTTCTCTGAACTACTCAAAATTTCCGCTACTGGTTCTCCAGAACTAGTCCGTACCAGCTGAATACCCACCTTTGCCACTATAGGGCAGAGGCCCCCAAACTTGGCAACTTTAAGACTTTGGACTCCAACTCCCAGCTATGCTGGCTAAGGAATTCTGGGAGTTGAAGTCCTCTCAGCTCCTTGCTGGTGGCATTAGCTATGTGAAAAATATTCCAGGATAAATGAGCTTATCTTAGCAGCATTTCAAGGCCATTCTGGAAGGATATCCCCATTGAAAGCAATGGTTTCTTTTTAAAGCAGGGAGCTTGTGTGTCGGTGTCTCATTTCCCGCGATTCATTCTTTTTGCTCTTAACATCTTTTGAAAAGGAGTTCCTCGGCAACAACGGGGAGAGATTTGGAAGTTTTTAGTAGAGCTGCACCAACTCAAGCACCCATTTCCAAATAAGCAACAGCCAAAGGACACGCCGTACAAAGAACTCTTAAAACAGCTGACTTCCCAGCAGCATGCAATTCTGATTGATTTAGGTAAGCCTGCCCAGAAGTTAAATCTGGTATTAAACTTGGAACATTTTGCATTTGAAAAAAAAAGGGGAGGGGTCATATTTCACTTAGGACTAGGTTATGGTATGTATGGAAGACATTTCTTAGGGAGTGGTGTGGTGGCCTAGAGGTGGAGCTCTCACCTCACAATCAGGAAGCTGTGAGTTCAATCCTAGGGTAGATAGAGGCAGATATTTCTCTCTCTGGGCACAATGAGAATATATCTGCCAAACAAAACTCTGCACTGGCAACAAGAAGGGCATCCGGCCAGTAAATCACTCTGCTAGCTCCATTCAGTTGCCCAGACTCCCAGGTCATTAAATGATGATGATGATGATGATGATGATGATGATGATGATGATGATTGAAGAAGTTTCTTTGTGAGCAATGGCATTCAGAACTTCAGAGCTTCTACAGGTGCTCATCCACTTAAAAATCATCGGTTTACTGACGATTTGAAGATACAGTGGCACTGAAAAAAATTAACTTATTACAGGTTTTCACATTTACGACTGTTGCAGCAACACCATGGTTGACAATAGACAAAATTTCGACCGCTTGGCAACTGGCATGTACTTATGATGGTTTCACTGTCATATGAACGCCTTTTTGGTACCTTTCAAGCCAGCTTCTGACAAGCAAAGTCAATGGGGAAGCCAGATAATGGAATGGAATGGAATAAAATAAGAAAAGAAGAAGAATAGAAGAAGGAAAAAAGAATAGAATAGAGAAGGGATTAGATTAGATTAGATTAGATTAGATTAGATTAGAATAGAATAGAATAGAATAGAATAGAATAGAATAGAATAGAATAGAATAGAATAGAGAAGGGAGTAGAATAGGATAAGAATAAGAAAAGAATAGAATAGAAGAAGGAAAAAAGAATAGAATAGAGAAGGGAGTAGAATAGAATAAGAATAGAATAGAATAAGGAAAAAAGAATAACGAAGGGAATAGAATAAGAACAACTTCCTGGGCTGGAAGATTTTCCTTCCAGAAAATTACCAAACCATTCTTGATTCGCTTAATGACTAAACGGTTCCCTGAAGAACTGCATCAATTCACTTAACACAATGGCAGCAAGAAAAGTGGCTAAAGTGGGGGCAAGATTCACAATGACCGTCTCACATAACATAAACATTGGGCTCAATTATGGGTTGTTGGGGTTGTTTTCATAATTGGGAAGTGTTTTGCACAACAGTACGGCTGATTTGTGTCCATGGCCTTCTCTTTTTTCTCTCTCTCTCTCATAGGTCGCACTTTCCCGACCCATCCCTACTTCTCATCCCAGCTTGGAGCTGGTCAGCTGTCCCTCTATAATATCCTGAAGGCCTACTCCCTCCTGGATCCGGAAGTGGGCTATTGTCAAGGCCTCAGTTTTGTGGCCGGAGTGTTGTTACTACACATGAGCGAGGAGGAAGCCTTTAAGATGCTGAAGTTCCTGATGTTTGAATTGGGCCTTCGGAAGCAATACCGACCGGACATGACGATTCTTCAGGTAAAGGACCTGCATTACATTTATTTAGTATTGCACCCAATTGCGAGAACCCTATACGGGTAGCCCTCGACGTACAACCACCATGGAGTGTTGTGGCCCGCTGGTGTTCTGATCAAGGCTTCCTGAGACAGTAACAATCACACGCTGTTTCCCAAAACCTTGTTTTTATTTCCAATGGCTGTGAATTATATGCATTCACAGCCCGTAATGAGTCCCAAACAGTTTATGAATAGTCCAACAGAAGTCTTCCACAGTCCTTCGGGATAAGGCTGATAAGCATCCACCTTCAGAGTTTAAACTGACCAGAACAAATAAAGTTGCTTCCTGCAAAGGTTCCTGTCCCTTTGCTCCTCCTTTATGTCTTATGGGAGGGGTCAATCATCTCCAAGCCTTATTCCCAAGTCGCCCCTTTTGTTCTTGCCTTCTGGCAGCTCTGCACAAGCGCACACTGGAAACAGGCTCCCCCTGTTCCTCTGCCTTGCTGATGTCAGATTCTGGAGGCTCCGGAGTTAGCACATAACTTTCAGATGGCCCTGGCCCCATCTCTGTGTCAGATGCAGATCCTTCATCCGAGCCCTTTCCAGACTCCAGGACTGGCCCGTGTTCCTCCCCACTGTCCAACTTTGCTGCCAGCTCCGCAGGACGCCGGCGGACCACAACAGCCGGTGGCTAGCGGAGCTGGCAGAAGAGTCGAACAGTGAGGAGGTTGGGGAGAAACCTGGGCCAGTCCTGGAGGCTGAGGAAGGCTCAGACGAGGGCTTTGCGTCAGTGGCAGAGATGGGGCCAGGACAATCTGATAGTCATCAGCTGCCTTTGGAGTCAGATAGCAGTGAGGTGGGGGAACACTGGAGCTGGTTCCCAGCTTGCGCATGTGCAGAGCTACCAAAAGAAAAGAACAATTATGAACTAAGGGTTGGCATGGGACTAAAGCCACAGGTGGACAGTGAATGGCCCCTCTCATAGGGATTAAAAGAGGAGCAAAAGGGGAGGGGGCTTTTGCTGGAAACAATTCATTCGTTGCAGCAGTGTGGTCTGTCTGTGTATCTCAGAGATTCTGTGCTGAGCCCTTCCTTGTCAGCACTGCGTTTGGAAATATTTACTTGGCAACTCTCCAAGCTAGATAAGGTCTGTGCTCCTAATTACACCCTTGAAAGTCTGTTGGCCAGGCCTTTGGCTGAATGTGAATGAAGAAATTCACCTTCTTTAATAAAAGAGGTTTTGCCGGGACAGAGTCTGCTTAGTGCTTTTTGAGGTCAGAACATGGAGCCCCAAAACTTCTGAGAAGCAAAGTCAGTGGGGAAGCCAGATTCACAATTAACAACTGTGTGATTAACTTAACAAATGCAATGTGTCTGATGCAGCTCCCCAAACATGACAAACCCTCTGATGGGAACTCAAAAATTCCTTTATTAGGAATGTCAGCAGCCCGCAATGGTCATAAACATGAGTCAATTAGCCAAGCGCTCCAAATCTTGGTCATGAGGATGCTGCAAGGCATCATAAGTGTGAAAAATGGTCACCAGTCACATTTTTCAGTGATGTAGTCACTTCGGTCACTAAATGAACTGTCGTAAGTTGAGAACTGCCTTCAGCCACACCTCCCGATGGCATCCATCCATCCACCGCTGACGACTAAAGTGTAAAAAAGTTTTAATTCTTCTTTCCTCCATGTTTACTTCTCTCTCTCTCTCTTTTTAAATTCACTTGGCAGATCCAGATGTATCAGCTCTCTCGACTCCTCCACGATTACCACAAAGATCTTTACGATCACTTTGAAGCCAACGAGATCAGCCCCAGCCTCTACGCAGCCCCGTGGTTTCTGACCCTGTTTGCTTCTCAGTTTCCCCTGGGTTTTGTCGCTAGGGTGTTCGGTAAGTCATCCTAATAAGGGTGTCTGGACCATGAATGACTTTGGCCACCTTGTGAGAAGAGGGTAGGTTCTAGACAGTGGTGATATTCTTCCGGTTCAGCCAAATCGGTAGTAAATAATCTACCAGTTTGGCCGAACCAGTATTTCTGGCAATCAGCTGGGCAACAATCATCTGTGCCGTGCAATTTAGATTAGCTGGAAAGCAGGAAATCATTGGATTTCTTACTTTCTAGCTAATCTAAATCGTGCGGGACAGCTGGTTCCCCCCCCACTTCAAAATGCTGCTTTTTTCAGCTCCCAGGAGGCTTCCCTGAGGCGAAGGGGAGGGCTGCTGCAAAAGAAAAAAAGAAGAGAAAGGAGGGAGGGGAGAAGGAAAGGGAGGGAGGGGACAAAGAAAGAGAAGGAAAGGAAGGAAGGAAGGAAGGAAGGAAGGAAGGAAGGAAGGAAGGA